CGATATCAAAGCATTTATATATTGTAATTTTTTATTATGATGGTATTTTTTCTAATATTTGTTCTTTGATATTTAACAGAAGAAATTCTTGTCGAAAATATTGCCATGTGTCATCTTTTTGACAAAATATAATTGCTGATGAAATATTTAAAATTATATCATACACACTTGAGAAAGAAGTCGTACTAAGTCACATATTTTAATAAAACCATATTGGTCAGGTACTTTTTCAATACAGAATTCGGGAAATGCGTGTAACTTCCTCCTTTATAGAGAGCTCCTTAAAGGAGATGCCTTTAATCGAGCTTTAAGCATATCTGCACGTGATCCTCTAGGCACCACAGGGAGACTTCACCTGCATTATTTGACGATAGTTAACGACAAACACGAAGGTGATGCCACCAAATGAAATTTTATATGATCTTCTTGGGTCTTTTAGAGTACTGTCTACGACTTTTTATTATATTTGTAAGCGGCGGCTCACCGAACATTCGTCCCACATTATGTGACACACTTCCTGAAAGAAGTTTGTCGAACGGCCCGTTTTTTATGTGGAACATACGGCTTCTTTCTATAGGGAGACATTCAAAGGTAGCTTAAATGTGGAACGAACTGTTTTTCTACCACGTAGTAAAGTCGCAGCTATTCCGGGAAAAGTCACCGCAAGAGCCAGTCTATTGATTGATTTTCGGCTGGTATTCATTTTATATATATTTTTCTAGTCCCTCGGGATAAAAGTAAATTTACAGCCGATATACACAATAGTTTATATGCAATGTATACGTATAACTTTTAAGATAAGTAAAAATTTAAGATGACATTGCGAAAAAATGTACCTCCTTTCGTCGAATAGTATAAGATTATGACACCACTAACGAAACTGGAAATTCGATTTAGGTAAATTCATGTCTTTATCATGAATTTGCTTGTTCAAAAACAAGATTGTATAATGTTGACTCAATCATAAACTTTGCGAAATTGCGAAAATACCTCTAAAATTCACTATAGTTGAAATTACAACGAAATTACTTAATCCGAATGCTTGGGAATCACTCAAATATATTCATTACATCAATATTCGTAATTTACTTGCTCATTATTTTGATTACTTACATCAATATTTTTTTTTAAATATCATAAGATTCTGAAAATTTCTAAGCGGTCTTAATCGTTGTGGGCAATTTTAGACCGAGACCGCGTTTTTTAAGTTTTTATAGAAATTATTTAGGCTGTGTCCCCAGTAGGCAAACAATTAGCGGCTGACTGAGTGAGCCGCAAATTTGCAGCAAACTGAAATTTGAGTTAGCTGCAGACTCAAATCAATTTTCGTGAGTCGCAAGCAAACTGTTAAGAGTTCCGCCGCTTATTTAGCCGACCGACTGAATTATCACTTTACTTTTGTTGTAGGAAGGGAGTGGTTGTGTTGGTCACGATGGATATTTTTGAAGTAATTGGTATCTTAGAAGCGCTGAAAGAGGATAAAAGGAAGCACTGGGTTCATCCATTATACAAGAAAAGGTTAAGCATTGGACAATTTCACACTCTTTACTCAGAACTAAGGAAACATCCAGAAAAATTTTACGACTATTTCAATATGACTTCTCATACATTTGATGAATTGTTGAAATCTATAACCCAGTACATAGCTAAAAATAATATCACAAGAGATCATTATGTCCCGAAGAACGGCTTACTATAACTTTGAGGTAAGTAAATAATTAACGCTTTAGGATTTAAAAAAAAAATATGTTATTTTTATTTTAATACAAAGTCACTTTCGCATTTATAGTTTTTAATTTAACAATCACTTTTCAAAATTACTGTATTATTAAATTGAATTAGGAACAAATATGGTAACATTAAGTTGGTAACCAGTCATTCCTCAAATCAAATCAAATCAAATCAAATCATTTATTTCGCTAAAACATGGGTACAGACGGATGGATACAGAGTCAATATTTGTTTCCACATGTTTTGCCTTTTGTGGCATGCGTAAAAATTGTTTAAAATAAATATGTTAAAAAACAAATTAAAATTAAAAAAAAATAAAATAAAATTAGAAATAATCACTTTTATAAATTTTCTTTTTCTTTCAAAAACAATTGATATTTATGTTTTTAGGAAAACATAACAAAAATAGAAAATTAATTTTTGTTCATTTGAGAAGTATCACGCAAAGTCCTGGATCTATCTATAGTAATTTACTTATTTAAGCAAAATCAATAAAAATAAAATCAAAATTTATGGTTAAAGAATTCTTTGATATTATAAAAGGCAGTATTTATTAGCCACTGCTTTAAACTTTTTTTCATTCGCCTTAATGGCTGTTCACGAATATTTTTAGGAACTTTATTATAAACTTTGATACACATTATGAGGCAATTCCTCTGGTATAATGCAGTTTTACAAGATGGCATGAGTAGACGTGTCGGATCTCTTTTTGCTAGGGAGTTATTATTTTCCTGCGCGGTAACGAATTGATTAGAATTATTTTTAATGAAAACACAGATTTCTAATATATATAATCCAGTTAAAGTGAGAATTCTTTTTTCCTTGAACAGGGGTCTACAGCTTTCAAGAGGGCCTACATTACACAGTGCACGAATACATTTCTTCTGACTTAGGAAGGCTTTGTTTGCGTCAGTTGAGTTGCCCCACAAGAGTAGTCCATATCTTAAGACGGATTCAACGTACCCGTAGTAAGCAATACGTGCTGCTTGTGGACCTGCTACATTTTGAAGTTTACGCAGTGCATAAACAAATTGATTAACCTTTTTGCATACTTTTTGTACGTGTAATTTCCAATTTACGTACCGGTCAATAGTAACACCTAGGAATTGTGTATCTACTGCCTCTACTAATCTTTCGTCCTTATATCTTAAATCCAATTTTTGTGGTTTTGATTTATAATTTCCAAATTGAATATATTTAGTTTTGTTAGTGTTGACTCTTAAATTATTATCTTCTAGCCATGATATAACAGACTCTACAGTAAAATTTATTTCTTGTTCATATATTTGTGACTTATTAGTGTGGGGTATAACAATTGATATATCATCAGCAAATAGTATTGACTGATGATTTGTTATACTCGGTAAGTCGTTTATGTATAAAATGAACAATAAAGGGCCTAACACACTCCCTTGAGGTACCCCATAGTCATTTTGTAGATAAGGAGATCTGTAATATGTTAACTCTAGTTTATTATTAATACGTGTTACTTCAACACATTGTTTCCGATTTTTCAAATAACTTTCGATCCATTCCAAAGCCGGTCCTCTGATTCCTAGTTTTTCACATTTGTACAACAACTTACTGTGTTCTACACAGTCAAAGGCTTTAGACATATCAAAAAAGATGCCTACTGTTGGTACTCTATCATTAATAAATTCAGTTATTCGACGTATCAGTGAAAAGGTAGCAAGTGTAGTAGATTTATGTTTTTGAAAGCCATTTTGTTCGTTTCTGAGTATATTATATTTTGCTACAAAACTAATAATTCGACTATGCATGGCTTTTTCAAATATTTTGGATAGAATGGGTATCAACGTAATCGGCCTATAGTTATGAATCTCATGACGGTCCTCGTTTTTAAATAAGGGTTTGACTATAGATGTTTTTAATTTATCTGGAAATCTTCCATGTATGAAAGAAAGGTTTATTAAATACGTCAGAATTGGTGCAAATTCCTTCACACATGATTTCAGTATATGTGTAGTAATAGAATCATAACCAACAGATTTAGTATTATTAAGAGAATTTATTATAATTATGATTTCATTTAATGAGCAAGGTTTTAAGAAGATCGATGATTGAACATTTTCAGACATATTCCTTTTAGTTTTATTATTTAAAGAAGAACGGTCATGAAGAGCTGTACTAATAAAATACTCATTAAATTTACTGGCAATGATGAAAGGATGATCTATTTTAGTTCCATTACAATTAATCCAGTCAATATTATTATTTTGTGTATCATTATATTCATAATTTTTAATGATTTCCCAGGTAGCTTTACTTTTACTTTTTGAATGTAACAGGTGTTTCATGTTTAAATTTTTTTTCGACCATGTTACGCAACTTTTTAATAATTTTGAATATTTGTTATAGATTAATTTGTTTTCTAAACTTTTTGTTTTGTAATATTTATGTTTTAGTTTTCTTTTAGTTTTACTTGCAACCCTTATACCTTTTGTGATCCACTTTGGAGCCAAATTGTCTGTTTTGATTTTATATTTTTGTAATGGAAAACAGAGGTCATATAATAAACAAATTAAGTCATGAAATTTATTAAAAATATTATTAAAAATGTCATCTGTAGTTTCTTTTTCCCACGATATATTTTGAATGCATTTACGAAACTTATCAATATTTTCCTTAGAGTAATTTCTTTTCGTAGTATACCAGTATTTAATTTTAGGTAGCAGTTTAATTGGAAAACTTAGAGATTGACAGGTGTTATGATCTGATAAATGAAAATTGTACAGGGAAGTAGAAATATCAGACTCTTTGAAATTGCTAGCTATATGATCAATACATGTGTGATGTCTCGTAGGTTTATCATTATGTAGTTTAAGGTTGTAGCTGTATAACAAATTTTTTAAGTCATGAGTGACGTTATTATTCTTAAGTGTGTCAATATTAAAGTCACCACACAATATGACTTTCTTTTTGTTAAGCTTAAATGCTAATTTATGAAAAAGAAGATCTAGTTTCTCGATCGATCTCGAAGATTAGTCTCATCTTCAATGTGGTTTGAATCGCCTCGCAATATTGCTTCTATGTCTTCTACTTCCGCTGAAGAACCTGTAGAGCTATGTGATGGACTGTTTCGAGGGTAGTTTTGCACATTTGGTGTACTGCTGCTTCCACTCGCATAGCCATACTGATGTGGGTACTGGTAGGCATTAGTCCATCCATTTTGCATCATACCACCGTCATAATTATTATGTACACTATATTTTATATTTTTAATAATTTTCATCACTTCGAACCGAAATTCAAAATTCTGTGTTGGGGACATTGTCTTCATTTCCGGTAAAATATTTAGTAGAAAGTTCATATCTGGATCGTTTTCTCTTTTTTTCCATCGAGTTAATTAGTGCTTCTTGAAACACAGTCATCTTTTTTGGTCTACTGACATTAACTACCGAGTCAGTAGAATCATTTTCATCTAAAATAGCGCTACTGTCGCTAGACGTCTCGGCGCTAATATTGCCAGATGTCTGGTTGCTAGCTCTAGAAACATTTAAAAAGTGTAACATGTCCAAGTATGGTGTCTTGCGTTTTTTTGTTGCCCCACTTCCGCTTTTGACTGAGGAATCCTTATTTTTTTCTCTGGTGTGATAGTCGCGCAAACCCTTCCATTTTTTTTGTAGGTCTTTTACTGAAACAGAAATAATCGGTAGTTCAATATTCTTTCCAGATTCCTGTCAAGTGGACTAAGTTACAGAAAAATTGCACAAGAGTTTCTTGTTGGAAAATCGACGGTATCGAAAATAATAGGTGAAACTGCATGCATTATATGGGATATTTTACAGCCACAGGAAATGCCGGAACCTTCTGAAGAATTGTGGCTAGAAATAGCAAAACAATATTATAAAAAAAAACAACTATCCTAATTATATAGGATCTATCGATGGCAAGCATATCCGTATTAGAAAACCACCAAAAAGTGGGTCTATTTTAATTATAAGAAATTCTTCTCAATTGTTCTGTTAGCCGTAGCAGATGCAAACTGTTCTTTTATAGCTATTGATGTAGGTGCTTGCGGACGAAATGCTGACAGTAATATATTTAAAGAAAGTGGTTTTGGCAAAAAATTGGCGTGTGGGTCTCTGAAGATTCCTAACTCAACTAAATTGCCTAATTCAAATGGATTGCCCCAACCTTTCGTGTTTCTTGGAGATGAGGCATTTGGATTACAAAATCATATCTTGAGGCCTTTTCCTAATAAAAGTTTAAAGAGGGAAGAGCGAATTTACAATTATCGTCATAGTCGAGCTAGGAGATGCGTGGAATGTGCATTCGGCATCCTAACAAGCAAATGGAGAATTCTGCATACACCGATCACTACTAATGTGAATACAACCATCGCTATCGTAAAAGCTGTTTGTATTTTACATAATTTTGTCATAGCAAGAGAACAAGCACAATATGCACATATTTCGCGACGTACCTCAATAATTCTTACAAGTTCAAGGAGCCAAATCATTACTGTATCAAATTCTGGAAAAATAACAAGAGAAAACTTTAAAAACTATTTTCTTAACGAAGGAAAGCTACCCTGGCAAGAGAAATATTTGTAAGTTGTAGCTACAGGAAGAAATAGTGTAACGGAGTGTGTAAAGCCGTAAGTACTATGTAAATTATGATACTTTGTTTTATGTAGTGAGTGATACAAGTATATTGTTGAATAAATAATAAATTTATTAGAATGGAACTTACTTCTTTTTTGTTTAGTGTTTTCTTCTAAGTTTTGCCAATCATCGTATATAATATCAACGAGTTCATTCCAATTGCTCTGCTTTAATACTCTGTTGCTGTATTCTTCACTCGACATATTCCATATGCATGGTCTATTCTGTATTTCACTAATGAACCTTTCCGTATCAAAGGACTTCTTGGATTTTCAGTGATGTATGTGTGCGTTGAGATTAGTTAGGTGCGATGTAAAAAAACACGTCCTAACACAATGATAGCTTTTTTCCAACTATCCAAATAATCAGTTTGCGGCAAACTGAGTCACTACGCCCGGCGAACAACCAATCGCCGCCGCCGACTGGAACCGGTTTTGGTGGGAGTCGGCCGCTCACTAAGATAGTCGGCGCGCGTAACGCTGCAAACTGCGTACAGTGAGCGCAAAACTAGCAAACTGTGAACACTCCATTTGAAATTTATGGAAGGGCGTACTAAACCGATACGCCGCTAACTCAGTCGGCGGCTAACAGTTTGCCTACTGGGGACGCAGCCTTATTCACTCGAATCAGTCCGGCGATAGCCTTGAGCCATTTTAAACGTTTATTTTCGATGTGTCGTCTTAATTTTCTATTTTAATTTGTAAATCCAAGTTTTTCATTCAACATTCTGCGTACCTACTGCAATATTAATTACAGTAGGTACACAGAATGTAAGTGGGTGATGTTTTCACCAACAAACTGCCCTGCAGTTTGCCGAAAGTGGTATATAAGAAACAACCGACTGTGTTTTTCTTTAATAATACATTTAAAAATAAAATTTGTTTGCAATAATGTACTTATGTCCTTACAGAATCGTTTTCGTTGATACTCTACGGTGTAGGCAGGCCAAAATCCTTGATTTATGATATTATTTGATAATGGCATACTGTTACTGTCAAGGTACAATAAAAAATGGGATCTGAAGATTGACGAAATAGCAAAGTTGTAACAAACAATTCAGTTTATGAGCCAAGTTCGAAAGTGCAGCATCAGTTAAGGTATGTTTCCTATGTTCTTCATCCTCGATAAGGCAGCTTCTTTGCAAACTGCTTGATATGTTGGCATGACCTGTTCATTATAATTTATAGCTGTCAAAAAGCTTTGAAAAGATGTTAGACCGTGAACATGTTGTAAAATAATCTTTAAATGAGAGTGTTTATTTAGGCTAGGATGAATACTGCACATATATCAAGAGCAGTCTTGCTTAACCGGAGTTAGAAAGAAGATATAGGATTAGAGGTTGCCGTTCTCGTTTTCTTCGCAAAAACTTGTTATTTGCCGATGTGTAGTACTGGGGGACTTCGTAGTATAACAAAGTAATTGCTTGTGCTACATAAATAAAGGAAACGGTAAGTGTTGTGGTAGGAAGACTTTTAATTCTTTGTTGGAAATCGCAGGATACCACCGTAAGATATCTCTCATGAATGTGAAACTCAAGATTTTGCCTAACAGTTTCCAATTCGAACTCTTTTTGTTAATTTTAAACACAGACAGTGGTTTCGTTGGATATTTTAGTGATATATCCGAAGATATATTTAACCGCTTAAACTGATTGACAATTTTCCACACTAATGCTTGCATTAAAGCATCTGCAGAGTGCAGGGAATATGGAACTACTTGTTCTTGTTATAAACAGGTATACCAATCAAGAGGAACAATTTAGCCATACATTATTTTCGTACTACTTTACCAACTGACTGTAGGAACTCTAAATAGGCACAACTTTTTCCGACTTAGTTGGTGAATATCATCATAACTTTTAGTCGTAATATACCTTTTGACATAATATATAGCCTGTCCATCTGGAATAATGTACAATTCAAATGGTGAATGAATTTTTCAAATAGGTGCAGTGGTTCCGGAAATTACCCTCTTTCAAAATTTTATTTTGCCTTAGACAAGTACAAGACCAAAGGAGGGCTTAGTGCCAAAAGCATTAAGTGCACCTTATTATTTATAATATTAATATAAATTAACTTTTAATAAAAAGTTTTTTTTAATAGAAGAGGGGCAAACGAGCATGTGGATCACGTAATGGTAAGTGACTATCGCCGCCCATGAACATCCGCAGCACCAGGGGAATTGCAGGTGCGTTGCCGGACTCTTAGAAAATATCAAATCTTTTCTTGAAGTTCCCTAAGTCGTATAGGTCCGGAAAAGTCGCCAGTGGTAAACAATTTCACGGAGAAATTGTATGAGGACGGAACTCCTAGTAAAACGGACAGTGGTGGACCACCAAGCATCCAAATGGTGAGGATGGTGAATTTTGACGCGATGTGCGTTCATGAAATTGGTCGGCTGGAATTAATTCGAATCAGAAGTGAATCGAGCCGATCAGAAAGGACTCGGTCGTCGACGATTCGAACTGCTCTCCGCTGGATGCAATCAAGTGGAAGGAGCTGACACTAGAGTTCCCCGGCCCAGAGATGAGAACAGTGCATGAAATACTGTCTCGCTCTGCTGACCACGTCAAGCTTTTTAGAGGTCAATTTGGCCTTCCCTTCCAAGTGAACATGAAACTGCACAATATTCGATATGTTGTGTCCGAGGATTCCGATGCTAGCTGAAGCAGCAAGGGGAGTGCCTTGAAACTGAGGAGATACGACAAAGGGGTACAAACAAAATATTTTCCACATATTAATAGCTTCTGAAGTCGGAGCTTTAATTCTTCTAAGCACTATATTGTGGCAGTGACTTCATGTGAAAATCATAATGTTTTATTAGTTTTGAAGGTGGCTTATACTTTTTATTAAGTGATTAATTATGATAGTTTTGACTTAGAAGCTTGATATTTTTACATCTCTAAGGTAACCGTAGACCTAATATAATTTTACCTTTATATCGCTTAACAAAGTGATGACACGGAACTCTAAAAAGAAAAGTTCCTGATTGTTTAGTGACTAACAACTTAACCTTTGTAAGTGGGAACAGGTATTTAAGAGAAACAATAGCTCATTAGTTGTCCCCATTTCTCTAATTAAATAGTACAACAGCAAGTGTTGGAAGCGCTTATAGTATACTAAGAAATCTGACCACCATACGTACGTTTTTTTATATAGGATAGGGTGACAAACGAGCACACAGTCCACCCGATGGTAAGTGGTTGCTGTGGCCCATAGACATCCAGATCTATCCTCGATTACGAATCAAAATGCAGATACGTTGTCACCCGTGAGGACTAAGATGGAATGCCTCATTTCCAGTAAAAAGGGTCTCCGGTTCTCTACACTCACCATACGAAACACAGTAGCAATAAGCTACTATTTGACGCTGGTATTCTGTGAGAGCGTGGTCCTTTCTCGGTCGAGCCGACCCATTCGTGCTACAACTATTCTACTAATATAGCTGCAGCATGACTCTACCACGTAAAAATACGTACCACAAATGCAAGGAAGCCTATGTCCATCAGTGCTGATACATTACTCCTATGTTTTTCCAAAGTGGAGTATCATTTAGATAATTTAAAACAGTTATGAGATTTCCATAAATTGGGTTTGGCAGCTAAAATGAGTTATAGATTTACCAATTCAGACAAAATAGCTTGTAATTTGTTTGCTACCTCGTCTTAAATATTTACATAAATCAATGAAAAATCCACAGATATTGGAAAAAAGCCGTAATAAATGTTACTGTACTGTACGGTGTACTGTACTTTATATAGAAAAAATTACAGTGACGATAGCACTTGAAATTTAGAAATATTAAATATCTGCACGGGGGACTTACAATTTACACTTATGAGTTAAAACTATACAAGAAAAATAAATTATATAAAAAAACACAATAAAAACAAGAAACAAAACATGTAGTCTGCAAAGTCATATATATTTCAAGAGTATATATAAGAGTACTCATAATTGTTCCCGACTTCAGAAGCTATTAAAATATGTGTTTTTTTTTTACTTTAATAATAACTCAAAACAAAAACTTAATTTATCGTACAGTAACCCTTGGTACAGTGCCAAAAACGCTGACTACGTTTCCTTGCTGAATGGCTACACTTAGCATTTGAATAAGAAAAGAAGCTGTCTGATCATCAGCAGCGACGTCCATTCGCGAGCACAGTTCCTGTAGGAACTTCACCGCACGTGGACCCCACTGAGCGATAGTCTCTTTACCAAATGGCACATATATATAGTTTCCTCTCAGAGACTCATATTTGCGCCACTTACTTAATTTAGCTGCCTCTGTTGCTGCCCCGGCTCTAAACTTGGTAAACTTGATATGAAAGACTGCCAAAGGGTCCACACCAGGGCGTTTCTTCGTACCCAAGGGACCAAAGTCATACGACTGTATTCTCGGTCTTCAGCCATCGTCTCTTAATATTTCACAAGGCTCTAAAACCGAGGTCACATTTGTGGAGATAAAAGGTCTTCGGATAACATCATTCAAACAACAGTGAGATAACAACCTACCAGCACATTCTTACATAAAAGTCCGTGGAGCTCAAACTTGTCGACGCTGCTACCACAGGGGCACTGATGAGGTAGATAAATCGCAGCTCCTTGTCGGCTTCCTGTGATTATGCGCAAGCTTTCCTATCAAGTAATATGCCAAGATTACATAATGGGTAGCGCGTAACCAGTGACTAGATTCCTTAGTTGAAACCGCTAGGAGACGAGCCTGATTTGATAACAATGGAAATTATAAAACAAATCTTTCTGCACACTCCGTACCAACGATATATATTTAACGTTTTTTTTATAGGATAGGGTGACAAACGAGCACACAGTCCACCTGATGGTAAGTGGTTGCTGTGGCACATAGACATCTACATCTATCCTCAATTACAAATCAAAATGCAGATGCGTTGTCACCCGTGAGGACTAAGATGGAATGCCTCGTTTCCAGTAAAAAGGGTCTCCGGTTCTCTACACTCACCATACGAAACACAGCAGCATTATGCTACTATTTCACGCTGGTATTCTGTGAGAGTGTGGTCCTTCGCCGGTCGAGCCGACCCATTCGTGCTACAACTATACTACTAATATAACTGCAGCATGTCTATACCAGGTATAAAAATATATAATAGAATATTTTTCCTAAAAAGTCCGTACATTTCCAGACTGGACTCTACCGGAGTTAGTATCTAGGTACCAGAATA